AGCAGGTGTCTATGGATAAGTAATTTAAATGCTCCTTTACTGCTTCTGTTCTGAAAAAATTGATCAGCAGAATTTCTAGACCTTTTGCCGGTGGGGCAAAAGGTCAAGGCCAAAATGGGCCAAAAAAGACCAGACCTCAGAAAGCCGGCCGCCCAAAGGACGAACGTCGCCAAGGGCAAAGAAGGCAAGAAGTCCGCCAAAGACCCCTCTACCAAAAGTGGCGGAAGCCCTCTCAAAAGGCCACAAAGCCCCGAGTCGGTTTCCCCAATGGAGGTAGAGGAAGGTCAGAGGGCAGATCTCTCGGCGCCTTCAACGAGCCACAGCGGGGCATGAAGGTCCTGCAGGCGAACGTCCACCATGCTAAGGCAGCATCTGCCATAATATGTAGGACGTTCGACACGGAAGGCTTGGATATAGCCCTTCTGCAGGAACCTTGGCTTGTTTGTGGAAAAGTCGCGGGACTAAAACCGCAACAAGGTAAGATTTTGTACAGCAAAAGGAATGAAAAACCCCGCGCTTGCATAATATACAGCAACAGGGTTAATTGTACACTAATACCGGTGCTTTGCACCGGTGATTTTGTTACAGCTATGCTATCAATCCAAACGGAAGAGGGAGAGAAGAGCTATGTTGTATGCTCCGCCTACTTCCCGGGAGAGGAGAGAATATGCCCACCAGCAATACTAGGCAGAATCATTGCCCATTGCGAGGAGCAGAAACTTAACCTCATAATAGGATGCGATGCGAATGCACACCACACGATCTGGGGAAGCACCAACATCAATCCAAGAGGTGAGTCACTATTACAATTCATTCTAGGTGAAGGGTTAGAAATTGCCAATAAAGGCAACAAACCAACTTTTGTCACTGCCAACCGAAAAGAAGTTCTAGATATGACCATGTGTTCGAGAGGCACAAATGACCAAATCAGGGACTGGCATGTGTCCGATGAACCATCGTGTTCAGATCACAGACATATCCGATTCCATATACAATGTCCAACTCGTACAGCTGACAGGTTTAGAAATCCGAGAGAAACGAATTGGGAAGGGTACATAAAATCCCTCGAGGAGTCTCTCAAGGAGGAAACCACCAATGTACGAGAAACAAAAACTCTCGAAAGGACAGTAGACTTGGTAAACAAGGCAATTACTGATGCCTACCAAGAAAACTGTCCCGAAAAAGAGAGATGCCAAACACCTAGATAGCCTGAGAGGCGAGGTGCGAAGGCTATTCAACAGAGCCAAATCCACACAAGACTGGACTACTTATAAAAATAAGCTCACAGAGTATAACAAAGAAGTACGCAAGGCTAAAAGAAACTCATGGAGGAAGTTCTGCGAAGAGGTCTCAGAGACCACCGCCAGCGCTAGAATCCATAGAGTTATAGCCAAAGACAGTACATCTAGTCAAGTGGGATTCCTCAAAAAAGAGGATAATACCTACACCACGACACTAGAGGAAAGTCTGGAGATACTAACTCAGGTGCACTTTCCGGCCTCAACTATCCTAACAGGACTAGACTCAGGAGACCAAGAGAGCTACAGTCACAAGGGGATCAGACCAACTCCAATAGACTGGAAGCTGGCCTCCGAAATCACAAGACCACACAGGATTAGTTGGGCTATCAACAAATTTAAGGCATACAAATCCCCGGGGCCGGATGGAATATATCCAATTCTGCTCCAGAAGGGAAAAGATGTGTTAATGCCACATTTATGCAAAATCTTCAGAGCATGTATTGCCTGGAGATATATCCCAGCAATATGGCAAAAGGCGAAAGTAGTCTACCTTGCCAAAGTAGGTAGGGTCACAGACCAAACGCCAAAGTCATATCGCCCCATAAGCCTATCCTCCTTCCTACTTAAAACACTAGAAAGATTAATAGATAGGTATATCAGGGACGATATACTAAAAATAAATCCGCTCCATCCCAACCAATATGCATACCAGCCAGGAAAGTCAACTGACCTAGCGCTGGACGATCTAAACAGGCTGCTTTCAAAGTCAATAGATGACAAAGAAATCGCAATAGCCACTTTCTTAGATATTGAAGGAGCTTTCAACAATGCCTCAACCAGGTCAACAACCAAGGCTCTAGAAGGAAGAAACGTCCCAGTAACAATATGCCAATGGATCACTGCCTGTCTAGAGAACAGGATTATTTTATCCACTCTAGGAAAGGCAACCATACAGGCAAAAGTTACACGGGGCTGCCCACAAGGAGGAATACTATCTCCAATGCTGTGGTCAGTTCTCGTGGACGACTTACTCAAAATATTGTCCAAAGAAGGCTACCAGTGCCTAGGATATGCAGACGACCTAGCAATCATCGTCAGAGGGCGATTTGCAGGTACAGTTTCGGAGCGATCTCAAACAGCTCTAAACATAGTGAACAACTGGTGCAAAAAGGAACAATTGTCCATCAACGCACAAAAAACAACAGTTGTACCATTCACAAAAAAACGGGTACTCACAGGTCTAAGACCACTAGTACTAAACAGCACAGTTATCCCATTCGTCACAGAAGCCAAATACCTCGGAGTCACATTTGACCAAAGGCTGACATGGAATCAACATCTCAAAAAACTCACACATAAAGCTACAATAGCTCTCGTAAGCTGTAGAAGAATATGTGGGAAAAACTGGGGTCTAAACCCCAAAATGACCATATGGTTATACACAAGGGTAATAAGACCCATGATAACCTATGGCGCAGTGGCGTGGGTAACCAAAACTGCGCAGGCAAGTGCAATAGGCCAACTCACTAGCATTCAGCGGCTTGCCTGTCTAAGTGCTACTGGGGCCATGCGCACTACGCCGACCGCAGCAATGGAGGTATTACTAAATCTCACGCCATTGCACATCTTCATACAAGGAGAAACCAGGTCAGCTATTCACAGGCTAATGCAGGGACAAAACCCAATAAGCCAACTACATAGCGCCGACCACACAAGGCTATATCAGCAAGTACAAAGGGATAATATTCTAGCTATGCCTACTGATAGAGCCATAACCACATACAAATTTGAAAGAAATTTTCAAATTCAAATACCAGCCCGAGAATCCTGGAAACAGGGACCTCCCGTACAGGCTGAACTCGTCTGGTACACAGACGGTTCAAAAACCAAGGAAGGAGCCGGTGCTGGAATCTATGGACCTAAGTCGAAATCAACGATTTCACTAAGCTTAGGAAAATATGCAACAGTTTTCCAGGCTGAGCTAATAGCCATACAACACTGTGCAAGAGAAATATTAAATCAGCAAGTATCAGGCAAAACTATTGCCATATACTCTGATAGCCAAGCAGCTCTAAAGGCAATTCTCTCACCAGAAATCAAATCACGACTGGTGAAAGACTGTCTAGAAGACCTGACAGAGCTAAGTAGTCAAAATAAGGTGACCTTAGCCTGGGTTCCAGGCCATGAGGGATATCAGGGCAACGAAAAGGCCGACGAATTAGCCCGAGAAGGCTCAGATAAGGCCATGACAGGCCCTGAACCCTTTTGTGGAGTCGCTAAGGCATTGTGCAAGGCATCCATTAAACAATGGATGCAAAAAGAGTCTCAGGAATGGTGGAACAACTATCCAAGACTGAGACAGGCCAAACAGTTCATCAAGGAACCATCGGCCAAGTTTACGAAAGACCTACTGGATCAAGAACGTCAAATCGTTAGGATAACAGTAGGCCTTCTTACTGGACACTGTCGCCTCAAAAGGCACATGAGTGTCATAAATCCAGCAGAAGAAGCAACTTTGTGCAGGTTCTGTGAAGAAGAAGAGGAAACATCATTCCACGTCCTGTGCCATGTGAAGGCTTGGCTGGAATGAGGTTTCTAACATTGGGCGAAGAAAAGCCAATTGCATGCAACTACATGCGGGAGCCACTGTCAAAGCTACTAAGTCTAATAAAAAAGACCAGGCTAGACGACATACTCTAAAACAAACGGAGTCCCACAATAGATCTGAAAAGGTCGCGGTGGACAAGGACAAATAACGTCCAACTCCTAATCTAATCTAATCTAAATCTAATCTAGTGCTATTATGAATCGTGATTATAATGTTAATTTCTTCTTGCAAAATTTCATCTTGCAGTATTAAAACTCCCAAAGCTAATTTCTTTTTACAATTATTTGACCCACTCATCGCGATGATCAGGACGCAACTGATAATCCTAGGAAAACACTTTTACGCAACGCGTTGGATGTTGCGTTGCGTCGGCCGTATTACGTTCTACGCTGCGTAAAATGTGCGTTGCTAGGAAAACGCCGCTTTAGTTTAAAACTGAACGCGTAACCAACGTCCAGCGG